GAGAGAGAGAGAGAGAGAGAGAGAGAGAGAGAGAGAGAGAGAGAGGGCCGGAGAGAGAGAGAGGGCCGGAGAGAGAGAGAGAGAGGGCCAGAGAGAGAGAGAGAGAGAGAGAGAGGAGGAGCGGGGGGTGGAGACTGGCTTTGAAGCGCAGAGGGACTCTAAGAGGTAGCTGCAGAGAAGCTTTGTTAGAAAAAAGGGGAGAGAGGAATTATATATGTTGACGTTCGGGCTGGGGCTGTGGCTATGCGCGGACGTCTGTGGGCGCTTTCGAGTCACAGGAACGGCAGAGAGTCGAGCAAGAGGGTGATGAAGCGACAATTCTTGTGGAATGGTTGTCGGCTATGGAGACAATTTGGTGATTTCAGCTTCCCAGACAGAGAATGCGCTGGTGCTTACCCCCGTCAAGGTGACGCTGGACATCGGTAGCATCGCTCTCGTCCAAGGAAGGGTAATCTCCCTTTCCGCGACCCGCGAAGGGACTAATTTAATAAGAACCCGCGCAAGAGTTTGGTGCCGATATGGAGTGGCAAAAGAGATGGAAATTGAGGCCAACCGGTCTAGCTAAGCAACTTGAAAAGGATGGGGCAACAGTGTCGTCCGCTGCTCCTGCGGTCTCATCGGCGGAGGAGGAGAAAGCCAGCTCCTCGCAGCCACCATCGCCTTCTCCTCCGCCCCAGCCGACGGCAGTCGCGTCCACAGCAGCCTCGACCTCGCCAGCGGCAGGCACGGCAGCAGCAACAGAACCATCACCAACGAAGTCAATGTGGGGCGAAGAGATGGTGGGGGTTAGGAAGGCTGCAAGCTCTGCAGCGTCAGCTGCAGGAGACGCTGTCTCATCCGCCGCGAAAGGGGCGCAGCTAGGGGGCACCAAATCTTTCACCCCTGTTACGTCATTTGTGGGGGTAGGACGAGGGGCTAAGGGAGTGACAACGGTCGGAAGAGTAGGAACAGCGAGAGGGGTTGCGGCCATACCGGCACGAGCAGGTGCAGGAGGCGTAGGCGCGGGCGTAGGCGTAGGAGGAGAACTAGGCGTGTCAGGAGTAGGAGGGGGAGGAAGGGGAGGCGGGAAAGCAGCAGTTGCGACATCGACAGGATCAGCCGCAGCGGAAGGAGGTAGTAAAGGCTTACCAGTAACATCTCCGGGAGCCGGGGGTGGAGGAGGGCTTAAAGCAGTCCCAACAGCAGTTGCGGCAGCAGGTCGAGGCGCAGGCGGTAAAGGCCTATCTACCGGTGCGGGAACGAAAGCAGGAGTAGGAGGGGGAGGTAAGGGAACAGTGGCCTCGGGAACACCGGCACCATGGGCGAAAGGAGTGTCGCCTGCACCAGCTGGGGAAGGAGGAGGAGGAATGGGAGGAGGCGGAGGAGGAGGAATGGGAGGAGGCGGAGTAGGAGGAATGGGAGGAGGCGGAGGAGGAGTGGGGTATAGTAAGGCAGGAACACTTTCAAAAGTAGAGGCAGTAACACATACACTGGGTGCGAAAGGAGCACAAGCGGCAGGGGCAACAGCGATACCGATGGGTAAGAAAGGAACGATGAGCGCAACAGCGCCATGGGGAGGGCTAAGGGGCTCATCTCCCGCTAAGTTTGGGACTGGGACAGGTACATTGGACACAAGGGGAAGCATGAAGGGATCTGAGGGAGGAGGGTCGTTCAAAGGCGACGAGGCTGGAAAGCTGTCAGGGAGGGTGACCGCAGGAAAAGTACATACGGGCGGGCAAGGAGAAACCATGGATTTGTCGAGCGAAACTGGCAAACTGGTGAAGGCCGCAGCGGCGCAGTTTGAAGCTGGGATTGGGGAACAAGTCAAAATTTGGCTAGAGAGGGATGTTTCCGGCGCGTCGACGAGGAAAATAGACGCCAACGTAGATGCTCTCGTAGCGGAGGGGGAAGAACAGTACGAGGGCATCGCTGACAGCCTGGACGATGATAGCACAGCCTTCTTCGAATGGGACCTGGAGTCATTACAGGTGCGCCACGCCTTCAAGCGCTCTATATGCCGTTTCACGTGCTTTCTTTCATACATACACCCCGTTGCTGCCCAGCTCTCCAACGTCAACCCAAGATCTGCTCCTCTCTCTCTCTCTCTCTCTCTCTCTCTCTCTCTCTCTCTCTCTCTCTCTCTCTCGGTGCCTGTTTCTCTCTCTTTCTATGTGTGGATTCGCGTGCGCATGTATGAGTCAATCCGAGTCTCCCTGTCCCTTACGTTGTTATATGATGTGCTTGGTGGGTCGTTCTCTTTTGCGGCCCGCTCCTTGTTGTTCTCTCCCTCGTGAGGGCTCGCATAGGAGAAAAAAAGCGTAACCAAGCAGAAGATGTTAAGATTAATCGATCCTCAGAACCACCCTAAGCTGTCAGCTGAAGATGGGTCAACAAAACAACCTGGCATGCTTTATCGCAGCTTGCGCGGCATCTAATCCACGTCGAATTCGCCAATACATCACGAAGATCAACGTTTCCGACACATGTCTATGTGGTGCGGGGCGTAAAAAAAACGCGGCCCCGGAGAGGATGCGACAAAGCCAGCCGTTGTTTCCATCCCGGTGGCTAAACGGCCAAGACGAAATTCGAGACATGGGGAACTAAAATTAGAGATTGGCATGTTGCATTCCTGCGAAACGCAAAGCCTGTCCTCTGGAGCACCCGTTAAAATTGGAACGATAGGGAGAAGATTAGCATGGCCCCTGCGCAAGGACGACACGCGTGAATCGAGAAATGCTCTCCCCCYCCCCCCCCCACAAAAAAAAAAAGAAAAAAAAAAAGGGGAAAATGATTGCCCGGCAACGAGGAATCACTTTCTCTCCATCCAGCGGCCTAGCTCAGTGGGTTAGGCACACAAGTGGCATTCAGGAGGTTGTGGGTTCGAACCCCATAGCCGCCTGCGGCGCACTGAGTGCCAACCAGCTCTGAGAGTCCCAACCAGTTCTGATAGTCCGCTGGATACCTCTGATCGGTATTACTACCTTCTTCCCCCGAATACAACGTACGGTCATTATAGCTGTATTTAGACTGAAAGATCCGCCAAATTCAGCTATAATGACCGTACATTGTATTCGGGGGAAGAAGGTAGTAGGGTCTTTGGCCGACACGGGTGTGAGTGCGAGTGTGAGTGGGTTGTGTGTGGTGTGTGTTGAAGAGTGTTGGCCTTTTAGACACTACTGCTGTTCGATTGGGGGTGGGGAACGATGAAAAGGGAGGCGCAGTTACTGGCGAAATGCTCGTGCTCTTGCTCGGTCTTTGCGTTAGCCGGACCCGCACTGGGGGCCCCACCCATCTCTGACTACCGATGTTGGGCCGGGGTCCAACATGCAATCCCTTCATTGTGAGGTAGCTGTCCTGGCAGGAGTGCCCTCTATATAGCCTTAGGAGTAGTGGTAGGTAGGTAGTGGAAGGCGAACAGAATTTGAGAGAAAGAATGTAGTGTAGTTAGAAAAAGAAGGGGGGAAAAAAAAATATTGCGCGGGGGCAGCGTTGAGCGAGCTGTCCGTCAGTGGTCCCGCAGCTAGTCCGAGGCGCGCGCGCGCGCACGCGCACAGACAGAGTGCGGGCGCGCATTTATGCGTGCATGTGCGTGCGCTTGTGTGCGCATGGGTGTGCTCGTTTTGTTTATGCGTGCATGTGCATGCGCATGCGTGCGCGTGGGTGTGCTCGTATGTGTGCTTGCGCGCGCGCGCAAGCACGCATTTATGCGTTCATGGCCATGCCCTTGTGCGGCGTGGGTGTGCTCGTATATGCCCATGCGCGCTCGCGCGTGTGTTGCGGCCTGTGCTGGCGAAATCCCTGTCTGAGACAGTGTGTGTGTGTGTGCGCGCGCGAGCACGCATTTATGCGTGCATGTGCGTGCGCTTGTGTGCGCGTGGCGTGCTCGTACTGGCCCGTGCGCGCTATCCCTGCCTGAGACAGTGTGT